GAAGGGAAGAAAATGACCTGCATCTTACAGTACTGTAAAATAACTGCATTCAGGTTGTGCCCCTATTGCTTGCATATTAAGCTGCAGGCATTAGTCTGTAAGAGCTAGCCAGAAATGGATAGGGAATGCTAGGAGAACAGGTTGCACCTGGTCAAGGAGATTGCCAGTGTGAGCTGTAAATCTTATTAGATAAAGAACTTCTACATCTTGTAAGCCTCCTAAATACTTATTAGGCACATCTGATTATAGTGTTTTCTCTTTGAATCCTTGACTATAGCAGTAAGAGAAAAATACAAAAATGCATTTACAAAAACTAACATGCAAGAAATACAATTTCACATGTTATGGAAAATCGAATATGGACACTTGTCTCTTGGACTGCTGGTCAAGTAATGACCACTAGCCACTAGGCAAGGAAACACACTAAGCAGGAGGTTCATACAGCCATGGTAGATCAGGCTCAGTTGTGAATAAGCAGTGGGGCTAATGGAAGAGACGCATCAAAATGCCATAGTCTTCAGGAAACCTAGATAATTTGGTACAAACAATTGGCATGCCTTGGGATTAATCTAAAATTGCTTGCAGTGGCAACAGGATTCTGCTGACAAGTAACTTGAGTCGAAGGAAACAAGCATACAAAATAAAAGGTGGCTCCACTGAATAGCAATCATCACTGGTATTTGTACATAGTACCAAAAGGGGTAAAGACCAGCAAATACATCAATGGAAGGGAGTCTCAGATGCCTGTAGTAACACTGGAAGACCTCTGTCCTATGTATTCTGAAATAACCTTGTACACTGTGAGTGCAACCAGTGAGTGACACAGGCACTAGCAATTGTTGTTTACAGGCTTAAAAGTTTTATACTATCTTCTTATTTTATCATGTATTGCCACATTTAATGCTTTTTTGGAAATGAATAGGATACTATGAAGTCTAACCCAACCAGTTTGTGGTTGATATTAATGCATAACTTTCTTTGCTTCGGTCTTGCTCACAATAATCTTGCAGGTACATATAGGGGCCTCTTACAAAAGTGTGTGGACTACAATTAGAATTCTAGTGGTGCCTTATGGACATAAATTTTTTGTGAGTTTTAAATGCAGTTTAATTCAACATGAATTAAAACATGAACCAAATTTGAGCCCTCTGACAGCCTGCTCCCAAGCCACCCAAATATGAATGAAATTTCAACATAACAACCACCAATCATCAGAATATGACCAGCATGATGTTTGTACACATGACTCTGACTGGTATTAAGCATAATCAAAAGAGAGGTAGCAAATTTTAAGTATTTCTAGCAAAGAGCAGAATGATTTTGTGGCACAGGTCCTTAACACAGCATGGAACGGGTCTTTTTGTGGCTTTATAAACCGATACACATCTTATCATCAGATCCTCTCCCTCCTACCTCCCAAACTAAGCAAATGATTTTTACCTAGATTCTTCAGACACTTGAGAGATTACATTGCAAACAAACTTATGACCTGGAAAAAGAAAAGTTCTATTCATTGATTTGAATTGAAATAATCTAAATCACAGAATCACAGAATGGTTGGGGTTGGAAAGGACCTTAAGATCATCAAGTTCCAACCCCCCTGCCATGGGCAGGGACACCTCACACTAAACCATGTCACCCAAGGCTCTGTCCAACTTAGTCTTGAACATCGCCAGGGATGGAGCATTCACAACTTCCCTGGGCAACCCATTCCAGTGCCTCACCACCCTCACAGTAAAGAACTTACTCCTTATATCCAATCTAAAAGTAAAAATGGTAGGTTCTGCTCCACTGGCATGAAGGAAAATCTCCATCCCCTTATCAAGAATTTGTATTGAACATTTTATATGCTGTTATGTTCCCATTTCAGAACACAAGACACTTACAATTGCATACCAAAGAAACATAAAACCCATTATGAAGCAAACTTTCACCTTGTGAGTATCTTTCCATAAGAAAGGTATCATCCACTCTCTTTTCTGAAAAATTGGTTAAAGAGAGAAATCTTTCTGGTAACTGCAACTGTAGAATTCAGTGGCAGAAGGGGTAGACCAAAGACATCTCTGAAGGTAAATGTTTTAAAATAAAGCATCATGGTTCATGTATAAATCCATCATACTCTGCAGTTCACAGAGACAGTATGTTGGCAAAGGAAGCTTGGGAATCCCACGCATCTGACCATAGGCTGCACTGAAAATCAAGGGCAGAACTCAGGTGGGTGTGCTTGTAGTGGTAGCAACAACTTGTCGCCATGACCCCAGTCTCCAGATGCACCAATGTCACAGAATACCAGTTAACTGAACTACTCAGAATAAATTTCTTAGCCCAGCTGGTAAGATGCAAGTTGAATATTCAGTTTCCAGAGACTACAATGACCCGGCAAGTAAATTATTACAGAGAACGCAACAATGATAATGTAAAATAGCAAAGAAGGAATGAGTACTGATCATATTCCTTTCTATGAACATGCACACTCGCACACACACACAAATGCGTCTTAAAGATGAAAGATTTAATTAAACAGTCACTTGTTTAAAAGAGTATGAGGGCTTTGCTTTATGGATGACAGACATGGGTTGGTACGAGGCAAAAATTACATGACTGGATTGTTGCAGAGCTACAAGGTGAAGAGAAGGTGGAAGATGCATACTTGGCTAGTATCTTGAGTTCACAACTTTCAAAAGATTCAGCTTTCTTTCAGGTATTTAAGAAAACAATTTTATTTCCTGTTATTTCACTTTTCTGTGAGCTACAATAAAAATCTGGGGGTCTCACTTTCATTCACCCATGAGTCCTTCCATACTACCTGGATACCACTGTAACTCAGAATAAAGTCTCTAATATTCACTTTGTTTGATATAAAATAAATTCAGTTTTAATGTCCCAAGGTCCCAGGATTCCAAAACATGAACAGCTGGTAGTCTTAAAGGAGACAAATCTCTAGTAACATATGCATCTTGCAAGCAACCTATTGCTAGGTGTCTTCCCCGGCATTATAAGCAATAGAGAATCATACCTCCCAGGGGAATAAGGTCATAGCATCTACATTAGTACATTTCTTAATTATTAACAATAATTTTATCATTTCATATCATTTAATGATCATTTCCTCAAAACCGATGAGCTAATTATTCATTAGGTACTTAAAATATATAAGGAGGCACATGTACGTTGTCAATATTTTGTCAGATAGAATCTGTTGAGAAATTGCAATGTTATATACTTATGTCCTCTGTAACATCAGGGTTTTCTCTCGTTAATACCTCAGAAGATCTTCTCTTGCCTTTGGGATCATCTTAGATGTTCTGTTATTTGTCTTCTTTAGTGATATTTTCAGTTGAGTTACCTGACTATGGAGGAATTTTCATACATTTGAATTAATGTGAATTTCTGCTTCACACTCTAAGAAATGAACTGGAAACTCTGAAGCTATAAGTAAAGAGCTTCAAAAATAAAACATTTTCAAAATCTATAAATATCAAATAGAAAATGCAGTATTTGTGGAGTAATAATTGAATTACTTTTCCCAAAGATAAAATGCATTGATCTCATCATTGAGGGAGAAATATTTGTGGGTTTGGAGGTTTTTTTTTCCAAGTTGAAAAGGAAAGTAGCAATAGCTACTTTCAAATTTAAGTAAAAATAAGTTATAATATAGCCTACGTTTGTGCCTCTGAAATACCACAAGCTTGGCTGCATTAATGGAAAACTTATCAGAATTACTTAGACAGGAATCTAGCATTGAACAGCTTCCTTAGTACCTCCAAAATACAGAAACACCACTTAAATCTAGATATCTTTTGTCACAAAAATTCATTGTATTTAGCATTTCTCAGCCACTCATTTACCTTTATCCTTCAATCCATCTTTAAATCTCATTTGATATCTATACTCATTTTTACTGACATGTCTATTTAATACTACTAACAGGCAACTTGTTTTCCACAGACATTTTCAACTTACTCTTTTTTAAGACAAAAAAATCATTTTTTTGTTGAGGAACACATAACTGAAAGGGATCTAGCAGATTAGTCGTGCAAGTAATGTCAGAGAGAATGACTTTGTTAATTCCTTTACATACCAATGAAGTTCCATCTTACCACTATTTCAATTGGAAAACTTTTGTTAAACTTCACACCAAAAGCGTTTTCCTTTTACTTTGAGGTCTAGAATTTATTCATGGTCAAGTGCATCCATTCATCATGTCAACACTGTCCTTGGCCTATTCATAAATATAATTAAATAGCCTTTTAAATTTTGCTTTGTTAAGGTCAAGCAGCCATGCTTTTTAAATTGTTACTCATGTGGTATTTTCTCAGTGTCTGAATAGTAAACATCTTCTTCACTTCCAGTATTCCAGATTGGATTGCACTAGATCCTGTATAACACTATTAACATCCTTTCTGTTTGGAAATTATCTCTTGATATCTTGTACATTTTTTAATATATATATATATATACACACACCCCCCCCAAATCTACAAATCTGTTTGTAAAATTGTTTTGCAAATGATCTCTTTTCTTAATGGAGAGCAGACTAGCAACATATTTCAAAACACTAAGTACTAACAGTTTTATGTCATGCATAAAAATTTATCCTTGTGTATATTTTCTTGGAATCTACTTTTTCAGGTAAATTGTTAGGGTTTTTTTGTTTTTAGAGCACTCTAGATTGACAGGTTCTATAAATGGGATAACCCGAAATATTTTACTTAGAAGTAACTACATTCAATGCCAAAATGATGAACGGCCATCTATAATAATACCCTAAAAACATGTTTTCAGAAGAGAAACACAGAAGGTAAAAAGAACAGTGCTGGACAATAAATGCAAGAAATTGAGCGAGTGAAGTCATCCTGCTGAAACCCACCATCCACAGAATGGAGGAGCACTGTGCCACTGAGCAGTTGCTGCACTACCTAATGAGTGTGTAAAAACTCAGTGAAACTCCAGCTACTTTTTCCTTTGTGGGTTGCGTGGTTTGTTGTCCTTTCCTCCCCCCGCCCCAATAAAACCCAATGTCCAGAAACATTACCAGTACTAAAGAATCTGTTCATGGCATTGTTTCACAAAGTTCCTAACAGACAGTGATTATTTTATTGTTGGATGTATTCTTTATTTTATTAATGATGAGAAGTAATCAATGGAATGCTAAAAAGAAACCTGTAAAAGAAATCTAGTCTGAAATCGGAATCTGTTGTTTGAAGCAAGTTCAGTGGTCATGGTAACACCAGTTGAAGATTGACTCTTACCCATTGTGAAATAGCCATGGCTCTTCTAAAAAGGTCACAATTTTTTCAAATATAGGCACCATGTTTTAAATTTTGTACATACAAAATATGTTCATGTCACTCAAATTACACAATGTGGCAGTGTTGTAAGTCTGAACATTATTGTCAATTAATGGCAGAGAAAAAGAGCCCAAAGCTCATGTAAGACTAATGACTGGGACGAATCTTGAAAAGAGACAAAAAGTATAAAACAACAGTTTCCCTGTTGTATGTGGGTTTGTGTGTGCATGTGTGAGAGTGCATGTAACAAAAACTGTTTAAGAGTAAGTTCAGATAACAGCCCATCCATTTGTTCTCAGCTTCTTATCCAGTTTCATTGCTAAAAGCTTTGATTTTAACTGCATGTTAAAATGCAAATTCAAATCCCATAGAAACCATTAGTTAGTGTGTTGACTGGTTCAAACCAATCAAAATTGAGAATTACTGCTGATGATCTTCCTTTCCATCTACTTGTCAGCTTCTGGGTATGTAGGATACTTGACTGTCTCAATTTTCTCCTTAACTTTGTATGATGGGTACAGGCCTGTTCTTCCTAATTTCCGATTGATGCCTTTTGAATAACCATCCCAGTGGTTTCCAGCTACTCCAATTACATCTCCAGGTTCCATAGGAATTTCATCTGCAGTTCTTGGATGGTGAGCATAAATAGCAATCTGGTTGTGGGCATTCTGTCCCCCAAAGTAGTAGATATCATCCAAAGAATGGAAATACGCTGAAGCATCTGGATGCAATGTCTGCATAATTTCATAGGCAACTCGACAAACCTTAGGAAATAAAAACGAAGGAGAAGTCATAAATATTGTTTGTGCCTGCAACATACCACAGGAGTCAGAAACCAATGTGTAACAAATTTCACAAGACAATCAAGGTTTGGAATGTCCAGATTAAAAACCAAAACCAAAACTGAACAAAACAAACATAGGAAAAGGCACAAACGCTCCAAAACACAACTAAAAAAACCCAACCAAGCAACAAAAATAACCCAACAAAACACCCAACCCCCTGCATATTTCTAACAAGAAGCACAACATTTTGCAGCAGCATTTTAATGAGTACTCTGGTGATCAGATTCGGTAGATAAATAAAGCAGCTAAATAAAAAGATAAATAATTAGAACAGCCCACTTTCATGAAGATTTGAAACATCTATATCAACACTTGCCACCCTGCTTTTTAAAATTAATGATATGAAGCAAATCAAATGTAGAAGCAAATTTGTTTTCCTTTTCTACTACTAATAAAAACTGTATTTTACTTCCCTTTAAACCTTTAGAACTTATATTTTCATAATTTATTCTGCAATAATGAGGCTTTGCGTTTACTTTTCTAAGGAAAGCTCCAATTTTCACAATCGAGCAGTTCTAGAAATCCGAGGCTTTAAAATGCTGTTAATATTAGAACTGTTGCAGAATTATGACTGCTGGCAACTTGGAAGACACCTAAGTGAAACTGAATTCCAGCAGGATAATAACAATGTTGGTGAGAAGAAAGATGCATTTTGAAATGTCATTGTATAGCATTCTATAAAAGGAATTTTCTTCAGACTGAAAAACAGGTCCCCACATCAGAATCGTGTTATCTCTCAGAAATGCTAGAAACACAAAAGGCTGCCACTGTATTAAACAAAGCTCTTTTCAGCAACTGGCTAAAAAGCTCTTCTCTGTCAGGTGTCTGATTTGAACACTGTGACCTTTCTGGCTTCTAATCTACATTACTGAATCGTTCTCTGATTTTAAGTAAACTTGACAGAGCTTGATAAACTAACAATACAGGGGACTTCAATATGAGGAAGCATTTCAGATTTTTCCTAACTTTCACTCTACATAAATATAGTAAAGCTTGATTTTACTTTTCTCCGTATGAAGACAGGCTGAGGAAGTTGGGGCTGTTCAGCCTGGAGAAGAGAAGGCTGCATGGAGACCTCATAGCAGCCTTCCAGTATCTGAAGGGGGGCTATAGGGATGCTGGGGGGGGACTCTTTATTAGGGACTGGAGTGACAGGACAAGGGGTAACGGGTTAAAACTGAAACAGGGGAAGTTTAGATTGGATGTAAGGAGGAAATTCTTTCCTGTTAGGGTGGTGAGGCACTGGAATGGGTTGCCCAGGGAGGTTGTGAATGCTCCATCCCTGGCAGTGTTGAAGATCAGGTTGGACGAGGCCTTGGGTGATATGGTTTAGTGTGAGGTGTCCCTGCCCACGGCAGGGGGTTGGAACTGGATGATCTTAAGGTCCTTTCCAACCCTAACTATTCTATGATTCTATGAAGTTATGGTGAATAGAACTTTGATCAGTCAACAAAGACATATTTGTACCTTCCTATCTTTGCAAGAAGCAGTCGCTTTAAAAAAATGTAATAGGATTTCCTTTTATCCCTCTCCATCTGATCTTTGAAATAACTTTTCAAAAGTACCTTTCAGAACATCAGGCTAAAATTAATTATTTCGAAGTACTTGTTATACTGCATAATATAGAAATAAACTTGATTACCCATACACTGGCAAGAGATTATTTATTTTATAGCTTCTGTGACTGTTTTGATGTTTTCGTCTCTGTGTGTGTGTGTACTTCAGGGGGAGAATACACACACACTGCAGGAGAAATGCTTTTCTGGTGAGTGTCCTGCATATCTGACATAAAACATACAACATCTCCTCTCATCTGGGTAACTAAACTGTAAGCTGCTGAGGGCAGCAGGCAAAGAATCCACATGCAGTATTGTAGTTAAAGTCAGCCTCCCCTTTTTTATTCACACATGCACTTATTTTGCAGCCTGTATACTTACACGTACAATGACTAATAAATTCTGGAAGGAAATGAGATTATGAAGACAAATATGTCAGGCAGAGGGAGCTACAATTTCATCTGAATGAAGACTGGAGAGACAAAAAAGCTTTTTGTTTTAATGTGCAATTTTAATTCTGCTCCTGCGTTATGATTTGTGTAACTACCATCTGGTTTTTCTATACTTCTCAATTAATATGATTTTGCTGAAATGCAGTGCCAATGTAGGTTGTTTCCCTTGACTTCACATCACTTGATGGGCCTAATTTCTTTTAACAGTATTGTAATGAAATACCTATCCTTAAGCTTCTATCAGTATTCATTTAGTTTTGGTAGCATAATAAGATTTAATACAAGGGACTTCATAAAGCACCTGATTCTATCCACATATACTATAATTTTCTCTTAATACCTCATAATGAAGTTTTGACTCTGTCTGGCAAGGAAAATAAAATGGAAAAAAGTCAGCATGCAATTGATTTATGTGAAGTCCAAAATCACACTGGAAATTAAGACTATATTCTTATCCTTACTTTCTCTTCATGCAGATTGGACAAAAGATACTCATTAACAGCCTCATTTTGCTTACATTCAATGCCAAAGTAATTACCAAATTGTTCATTTCACTGATGAAAGGACAGGGATACTAGTTCAAATGTTAGAGATGAGAGGATCAAGTTTTAAAACCATGAAAGAGAAATCTTTATGAACAGTGGGAAAACTTGCATCAGACCTTAGAAAAGCCCAATGTAGGTCAATCACATTGTTGCCTGACCAGTAAAACTGGTGCTATATGATTTTTGAAGAGTTTGAATTATTAAAGCTGAAGAAATTGCCCAGAATAAATTAAGTAGATGCTCGGACCAAATTCATAGTCCCAGCTATTGAAAGTAACTGTTTAATACAGGATTTCCTAGACTTCAGTAGAACTTAATGCAACTCTGGAAATCCAAATACATCATCCAGCAAACATGTCTAGTGTGAAATGCAGGGAGACGCAGAAGGAGACTGAACTCAAAGATACCATGTACTTCAAAGGTACCCTCAAAGGAGGTTGTACCAGATGACCCCCAGAGGTCCTGATCAACTAGTATCACCTTAACTATGTCAATAAATATGACTCCAACATGTACAATTCAATTTCAATATATTCTGTCCAAGCCATTTGTACCTGTATTTAAACTATTTTTTTATGTTTATATGGAGTATTCTAGTTATTTTTAACAGTTATGTGAATATAATAATAGCAGAAAACGTTCTAGATTTCTTGTTTTTACCCAAGACCACGTTGCTCTTCCTGCAGAATATGAACGGTCTCTACACCAATGCATGTGTGGCATGTAAGCTGATAGTCCCCCCTTTCACTGTGCTATGCATTCAGTGGACATACTTTAGCTGAATCAAGCATTATTATAAAAGTGAATGGCCCCTCACAAGCTTTTCTCAGTGCGGTTTTTTACTTTGGAGTTTATTCATGTCTTGGTCTGACTTAGGCTGCAGTAACCAAAGTATGCTATAAAATGTCATTTTCTTCACAGGGTTTAGCAAACAATGAAAAAAAAATGTACCCACAAGCCTGACTGGGGGATAAGAGGCTTTCCTGTACTTTTCTGTTCGGCTGTCTTCTTGCCATGGTAACGTTATTAAGAATTCTGGCTGTCAGGGTCAATATATCACTTTATCAATCATATAACAATGTTAATATTATGCTTGTTACCTATCAAATTGTCATGGCGGTGCAAGAGACAATTTACATTTGGGTTTGAAGTAAATTTTAACTTTCAGTTTTGTCTTCACCTCCATGTGACTGTGTAATCATGCGCGATCATAATCTATCACTATAGCTGAATGCTTTCCTAACCAAGAGTGTCACCTAAGAGCATATATGACAACAGCAGGTAAAAAAACGTACCCTTTGTTTGATTTCAATCATATTTTGCCATACTTGAATTAGGTGGATCAGCGTATCAGTCCCAAAAAACTGCTTTCCAATCTGAAACCAGCTTTTACAACAGCTTTTCATTATTGAAATTATTATACAACATGACATAATAAACAAGAAAATGCCAACGATTACAATTATATGACTCCATTTTCTAATGGACTCCAACTTGCTTCATCAAACCGCTCAAGAAAGGATATGCTTGTAGGATATAATTATCTGCAACAGGAAGTCTGTACGGATTACAGTGGTCAGAATTCACATTTATGGAGCTGCCACTGCATTGCTAGAAATGTAATAGACTGAAGAGAAATTAAATGTCTGCTTTCTTAATTCTTTTTCATTGTCACAATCAACTAAAGCAACAGCAGACATTTTTGAACAGTAGTGGAGTGCAATGATGTGTAGAAATGGATAGACACAAGTTATATATTAACTTTATGCAAAATTATGAAGCGTTAAACATGTTTAAAATTGGCTTTACTTATTTTAAATGCCTAACTAAGCTGCACAGAAATGGATGGATACCAGTCACACATTAACATTATGCAAAACAAGGAACTCTTCGACATGTTTAATATAATTTCTTGCTCATTTCCAATGTCTTAATTAAGCCAGTAACTTCAGTGGAAAAGTAATCAGCCAGTGCTTACAGTCCTCTGAATGTTCACATACCATACTGAGCCTTTAATTCTTCCCTGAAGTTTTCATGACAGACCACTGAGAATAAGGTAACATGAGCATGAAGAAAACTAAGATTTAGAACTGGTACATATACTCTATATTGTATTTGTATTGCAGTTTACCTGGGATGAAAACGTACAGACCAGGAAGTCTGCCTGCGACAAGAAGTGAATATCCAGAATAACACCTCTTAGGGAATTTTCAGTGTAACGGTTATGAAGTCCTGCTGACCAGGATATGGAGTTATCACTGATAAATTCATAATGTGGATACCTGTGAAAATACAAGTCACGTTAACAGCAAAGTCTTTTGGGTTTTTTAATTTCATTTTTTTCTTAGGAAGCATCATTTATGCTGCAAGATAAGGGTGTTAATTTGTTTTGCGTCTCTGCTTTACAGGGAATGCATTATAATTTTACTGAACACTCTGGAATGTTGCTGCTGCTTCCAAGCATGTCCTCTCTTTATCCAGAAGTCTGTCTGAGACCTGACACTGTAAAAGAAGCGGAAAAATGTCAGGAAGTATACGCCACATTCTGCTAATTTTACTGATTTTTCAATGAAATAAACTCGGGTAACTTAATTTCTCTACTACTAAATAGAATATGGAATTATGTTCTTCCTATACTACATTTTGTTTATTATCATACTCTCTGTTAGACAATGATCATGACACTGTGCAAGAAAACTCCGACACCTGTAAAAGGGATGACAAATCTAGACAAAACCCAACATTATCTTTACCGTTATTAGGACCACATGGAGAAAAATTCTGCAATTTATTAGCCAAAAGAAAATAAATGTAAAAATTCTTGACATATTATAAACAAAATGTTGATACTTTCAGTCAAAATATTTTTATTTGAAATACAAACCCTTGGTTTATTTTCAAAAGAACATTACAAGTTTTTAACAGGAAACAACAAATTTTAAAATAAAATAAGTACTTTTAAAAAGTGTTGAAAAAAAGGATGGTCTTTCTCAAAACATTTGTAATTCCTTTCCTGGGGAACTGAAATCTGAAATAAATTATGAAAAGTAGCAAAAAATAATTAAGTTTTTGGTCAGCCTCCTACCAAAGATAAGTTTTATATGAGAAATTCCAGGTAGGTGTAACAAAGATGATAATTATATTGCTGCTACACAATAATTATATTTCAATCATGAAGTGCAACTCATACGAGTAACTGCCAACTACAAAATTACAACTACAGGGCTAATTATAAAATAATTCAAATAAAATCTATTTTTTAAATATACAACTTCGTACCAATTATAAATCAGTATCTTAGATAAGATAGTAAGGCAGCTAATATTACATTTTTATGAATTAATCACTCATACGCTGTTCAATAAATTAAATAGCATAGAGTAGGCTGTAATGCTGGAGCCACAGTAACTCAGACCTGTAACTATATGCTTCAAAGCTTGACAATTCTATGCTGAATGTAGCTCAAAATAAGGTTTACACTCATGAGTTACCGTAAAGTTACTGAAGTTAGCATGCACTTGTACACCACGCAGTGTGTGCATATACTCTGGACGCACACTAGACATGATTATGACAACCTCTTAAAAGAACATGCCTAGTTTATTCCACTTTAATATCGAAATACAGCAAGTTTCTTTCATTTAACGTTCTCTAGCTGCAACTACCAAATCCAGACATTTAATCTCAAGAGTGAATCAAAAACCCACATGGAAAACTTCCACATTTCAGGAAGAATTTACTTTCTCTTTACAGTGATTTTCACAGAATTTTATGTTCTGTTAAATAATTATGTAAAATACATAGTAATTATGTAAAAATAATAATAATTATTTTATAGTTATGTATGAGCAGAGAAACACCTGCTCTAACAAAAAATCATGGATGTGTGGTAAATTTCCCAAAGATAGGATGACAACTTTAAAGAGCGCATCTGATCATTAATGTCAGGGGAAGTTCATGTCACATTGAAACCAAGACAAAACAAAACAAAAAAAGCAAGGGAAGAGAAGGCGGAAATATTCATCTGGAGTAACTGATTTGACCTCTTTTGAAAAATTATAGAAGTGTATATAAGAAATAGTTTTTTCAGGATTAACTCTATCACAATGATAATTTTCTTTCTTATCTTCGTAGGTCTAAAATTAACATCAATATTTAACCAGCTCTTAAAATACAACAGATGACAACAAAAGATTTGTGATTTAGATTTATTCTATTTCTATTTCCATTGTTTGAATCGTATTAGTATGTTTTTTAAAGAAAAAAGTGCAGGCCAAATGGAAATGTGTCATACTCTACTGTGTAAACCAGTGGAGGAACAGTGACGGGCATCAGTGATGCAAAGGAAGCAACACAAAGAATGTTTAACAGAAGATGTCATTTCTAGGGACAGTGAATATAGTGAAGATATCTGCACACCCCTTTGCAAGTTTGTGGCATAAGGAATACTAGTAAAATACGTAACTTCAGATTTTGAAAATCAGAACCCAGATGCTGAGTAAAGACAAAAGAACCTTTCCTGAAGAATCTGATTTCCTACTAGCAAAAGATCAGTCTAACAACTTGACAAAAGCAGCACACCAAAAATTGTGCCATATTGAATCTGTTCAAAAAACCAAAATACAAACCCAAACCAAAAACCCCCAAACCCAAACAATTATTCACATTTCTTTGCATGCACTCTTTTAATTTTTTTCTCCTTCCTCCTTTTATTCTGCAGTCTTTGAGATGCTTTTAAATTTGGTCTTCAATGACATTTTGTAAAGTTGAGCCAAATTCACTTAACCAACAGTTTCAGAACCCATTTCTTCAAAGCAATGATCCAAGCTTAGCGTTTATTTACTCACATGTTTTAAGTTTTCAAACAAGCACTTTTATGCTGTGCCACTGCTGTGGCACAACTGTTACAGCTGAAACTAGGTCAGCCACACACACATATAGCACATACTGCTATATTCATGCTTAGGAAAAGAGGTTTCTTTTAAACATCCTAAAATGGGAATATAATAGCAGCCATACTCAGTGTGACCAAAGAGTCTTCTAGCCCAGCATCCTGTCTCCAACACAGACTGAAAGCAGAGCTTAAAGAAAAATACAGTAAAAGGCCAAACCTGTGTTCCTCTCATAAGCTTAGCCTTATGTGGCTCACTGACTTCCTGCATCAGGCGAGGTTTAATTTTCCTTCCCACTCACTACAGTGCTTTAGATTCTATTTAAAGCTATTCTTACACAATGACTACAAAGAATAGACAAAATGAAACTTCTAAAGCTCTATAGTTAGGTCTTGCTTCCTTCTATTCCCTTTTCTGGCTGTATCTATATTGTGATTAATGTAATATATATTGTTATAAGCTTTTGGGGATTTTTTTTTTTGGTAAGCAGAACGCAGACATGATCCTATTACTATGATTCCTGAATGCATTGTAAATGAATAATAAATACTAAGATGTCACATTCTTACTGACAGCATTGCCTAAATACAGTAGGATCCCTTCTAGCTTTCCAAAGAAATTACCCACACACTCTCTTCTATATACAGGAAAGGAAAAGACTGTGAAGATCAAACAAAACAGCATAATGCTGGTTTCTCTGCATCAGACTATATATATGTAGCATATCTCCTCAACATATCTAAGAAAAATATAAATCTAATTCTTCTAAAGCTACCAAATATATTCTTGAAACTCATATTTAGGCCAGAAAGGATTTTTTTGTTTCTTTTTTCCCTTAGGAAAAGGGGAAAAAAAGAAATCAGAACAAGGCAGGGAAGAAAGAGTTTAAAATCTTTCCATCCTGCAGCTACCAGCCCCAGATAAGGATACAAACCAAACACAGTTATGAGACTATTTCAAGTTCCAATTGGTTTTAGAGGCTGATTAACTAGCCGTGTAACTATAGCTTATCTCTACACTGTTTAGCAGGTACAAACCAAGGTGAGTCCCATGCTCCAGCTCTCAATTTGCTGCGACTGGGAAAGTGTCCAGAAGAGGCAATGTAAATTTCCTTCCCTCTAAAGGAAGAGTGTGAGCATGTGTGTAAACAGATAGGGTAAGAAATAATGTGTTTGCTCAGGTCTTGCTCTAAAATGGATTGGAAAATGTATGAGCTGTTCACCAGGCTCAAGAACTTTGAAGCTTTACTGAATTGTAATGTATCAGGAATACTATGATTCGGGGCAGGGAGAGTTACACCAGCTAAAATACAGACAGTACACAGAGAGAAAAGCCATTAACTTGCTATTGTGGAAGTAAATAGTGAAATACTGAGGGGGAAAAAAGCTTTCATAAGTGCTAGAAAAAACAAAACCTCATAAGGGAGGAAAATTACTGCAAAACCATTGAAGAAGCAAAATACATATAACTTGACAGGTAAATATTTTAAAAGGAAGAATGTACTTTGTTGAATTTGAGTGCTTATTTACGTGACAGAGACCTAAACAGATTAAGACATAAACCAGAAAGGTATTAAATACGGTTTCTTAAGAATCTGTGCACATGTTCAACTGCATTATTTTCAATACTTTGCCTTAAAGAGAGATGCTGCGTATGATACAGGCTGGAAACACGTATACTAGAAAGTTAAGAATTTCTATTTAAAAACTATTAAATCAGCCAAAGAACAAGCAAGTCACACCATCCCTAACTTAGATATCACTTAGCTAAGACAAATGCCACAACCTCTCTTTACCAGAAGTTGTCAAATGTTGGCTGACAAAAAGCACAACATGACCTGGCAGTGTGTTCTCACACAACCATGTCCTGGGCTGCACCTGCAGTCCTGCATTCAGCTCTGGGTACCCCAACACAAGAGGGATGTGAACCTGCTCAAGCAAGTCCAGAGGACACGAAGAGAATCAGAGGGCTGAAGCACCTCTGCTATGGAGGCAGGCTGAGAGAGTTGGGCTTGCTCAGCCTAGAGAAGAGAAGGGTCTGGGGAGAACTTAAGAGTAGCTTCCAGTACCTAAAGGGGGCCTACAAGAAGTCTGGAGAGTGACAGGACAAGGAGGAATGGATTCAATCTGACAGAGTGGAGATTTAGTTTAGGCATTAGGCAAAAATTCTTCTCTCTGAGTGTGGTGAAACACTGCACAGGGTGCCCAGAGAAGCTGTGGGTGCCCCATCCCTGGAAGTGTTCAAGGTCAGGTTGGACAGGGCTTGGAACAACCTGGTCTAGTGGAAGGGGATTGGAACTGGATGAGTTTAAGGTCCCTTCCAACCCAAACCATTCTATGATTCTATTAAGGGCTTTAAGCCCATAGTTATTACAGCTGTTGAACTGTCAACCATGCTCCTCTCTAGTCATCCTAATTCTGAAAATAAATTCACTTCTTTCTTTCTTTTGGAAAAGAAAACAAAACCATTGTACATACTGATAGTACTAACTCCACTACCATACTTGCAGTTGGTAGACATCTGACTGCAAGGGAAGTTTCTGGAACTTCAGTCAAAACATTTCTGTTTTCATGACTATGAATAGTTTGAAACACTTCTCTTAATAGAAACAAGCCTGTTCATGTGAATGTTGGCAAAATTTTATTTAAATGCCAACAATGTTTGACAGCCAATCACTCTCATGTATAGACAGATATAATATCTAGCTAGTACTCACTAATATTACAGCACCCAATAATGAATGCAGCATAAGCTACTGTGGTAAATTGTGACAGCCGTCTGTGCCAAAGCTTGGTAGTTCGGTGTTACTGGAACTTTTTTTGTCAGAAGTGTAATCCAATTTGTATTTTTCTTCACAAGAAGAGGATGAAAAGATTCTTTATTCTCAAAACCTGACCTTAACCTGTCTTCAGATGTCTTTAACTGCTGAAACATCAAACTGCATCCTGCCTTCTATGAAATCATGGGAAGTTTCAAATGCCTTCTACTTGATTGCAAGCAACAGTAGGGTGCAAGCAACTGTATGTTTACATAGCTAGCGCATCTCATTATTATTAACACTAAAGTATACTGTGGTAAGGACTGAAAGCTGAACACAAATAAATAAATGCATAAATAAGTTTGCTATAGCAATCTTGAAATCTCTTATATTACAAACAGTAATTAAAGTCGTTTAAGCATAATGTAAATGAATTATTATAACCTCGGTTTTTTATTACCTGTCTTTTCATTGTTCAGATTTGCACTTTCAGATTTGCACTTTAAATGTTATGTTATCATAATTGTTTCTGCTATTGTTCTTGTCTCTACATACACAAAAAAGGAAGGATTAGATTGCCATCATCTGGAGTTGTGTGTATTCATTTAGTTTTTTCAAAACTCCATAATTTTGAACAGCAGCCCTTTGTAGATATGAAAAATAGAAATAGCACAATCAAAACACACAGGCTTGCAACGCTCTACTACAAAATAATATTTTCTGCTTATCTTATGCCCAAACCAATTTGTAATCCAGAATATAATCTTATATATTTTTCCAAGTATGTCTACCAAGAATAAAACAGTTAAAAATATCCTACTTTGGAGTTACCTTCATTTTAAAATTCTAATTTCCTTGCTTTAATAAAAAAAAAAAAAATAAAATTTACGTTCAAGGGAGAAAAAATTTTGGAAACAGAAATAGGTGCTATTCAGTAGACAGAAAAATAAGTAGTACTCAAAAGGAAAACGTGCTAATTTGTGCTCAGTAATGAATACACTTCAATTCAATGGTTCTGATATAGATATCCAAGTTTCCACTGTCGTGGCAATTAGCTTTTGTGAAATGCTTATGTACCGTAAGCACCATAACCCAAAAAAAGAGACGGAACATTATTCTTGCATATGTACCTACTTTCTTTTACTAAGCAGAAGGTTTTGCCATCTCAGTGGCATCTTGCAAGACATGCAAGGTGTCATTCTTTCCCATAGAATATAACAATGAGATTTTACATGAAAATACAGGCTGCGTTAGCAGTAAATAATTCTACACTGTGCATTTCCAGGTTTGAACAAAGCTATATTTTCTGTGACAAGCTGAGATATCCTATACCTAAGGTAGGTTGTTAAACCCATGTTCTGGAGAGCTAGAAGAGGACAAGAAGCAAATAATGGACAGTGTTACAGATTGAGAATCCCACGTATATTTAAGGACAAACTTTAAAATTATTCATCATGTAAGGTGAAAGTCTTCTAAGTTCACTATATGGGAATCTTTCTGAAAGAGTCATCAAAAAGCTGTCAACCAGCTTACAAAACCTTCTCTGGCAACCTGCTTCAGCAGGGGGTTGGAAGAGATGATGTTAAGGTCCTTTCCAAACCTAACTATTCTATGATTCTATGATCTCCACAGGTCCCTTCCAACTCCAACCATTCTGTGATTCTTTTTAATATCTATGTTCTACAGAAAGTTTGGTGTATTTATTATTTATATTTTTATTTGCCCTTTACAGCATTACAGGTTTGTTTTTAAGTGGTCACAGGTATCTTGCTCAGCTCTTCTGGATTTTTAACGTTAAACTTTGAAAAGCATACTTGCGGGGAAAAAAAATCATCCAAAAGAAAAAGGAATGTCTCAGAGAAAAATCAAAATCACTGGAAGCTGAAATGCAATCTAATATATAAATTATAACCAAAATAAATTAATTGCTTAAAAAAAAAAGGCAAAAAAATCCTAAGAATTGTGCACACAATAGTCAGAAATTGTGAAGCTAACCAGAAGGAACAAACTGTAATACAAACATAGTTCATCTTACTTGGATTTTGCCTCTTGCAACAGTGAAGGGTCATCTGTAGCCAAATACACTCTTTTTTTATCAACATGCATTCTGCGAGCAAGAAGTTCAAACCGTTCCTCAACGTGTACCATATACTCTTCAATGGGATGAAATGCTGCTTCTGTTCCTACTTTGTCTGTCCTTCGAACATGAACACTGCAAAAAGGCAGAAACTTAGAATTCAATTTTCAATAATTCTGAAATTTTAACTTTACATTTCACGTGTGCCCTTCTAGAATGCATATTAAAATGAATCCCTACATAAAACAAGAAAGGATTAGATTCATCGATGTCCATCAAGACACACTGACAACATGAACTTAGCTGTCAGTCTGTTCTTGAAAGCAATATAATACTCTTGTAAGGAAGGCAAAGGGTAACCAAAAGAAAAGAATGAAGGAGAGATAATTATAGCATACAAGGTATTCTGTTTAGGCAGAAGGTTATCTGGTGTCATTAGATAATGCTTCATAAATACAGTCCAAAAGCAAAATAGGAGTATTCGCATCATGGATATATTGTGACAGAAACTGCAACGGAGGGTTTGAATGAAGCAAGTTAAAATGCATCTTCCCCATCTGCTTGAAATCTTACATATCTTCAGTGGTGAAGTGGCTTACTGACTCAATGGTCAAAAGCCAACTAACTCTTGGACAGACCTGTTTTGTACTCCTACAGAAAGAAAGATTAAGCATTGAAGGCAAATTCTGGCAAAGGAAGCAGTGTTTGCAGACTCTAGTAGAGTAACAACAACATTTTTCATGTTATAGGACAGTAAAACCTTTCTTCCACAAGCTGTTTATTGCCTATAGATGCTTTCCTTTCTTCTCCCCATATGGGCCTTTCCAATACATAGTTACTGCTAAGAAACAGCAACAGTGGAAGCCTCAGCAGAAAATGGAAAAGCACATACCATGTTCAGGTGCAGTCAACAATAAAATTAGTTGTGGATTGTGGCATATAAAATGCAGGCTTAGCCTTTTTTCCCCAAATGTAAAGGCTATAGACCCTTGAACAGAAGACCCAGACAGAAAAGTGTCTGGAATACAAGCTGTAAGGCAATTACATGAATGAAATTCTGTATTACACTACTAGGTATAGAAGGACATTTAAAAAAACCACAACCAACCAAAAAAACACCCTTCCATTGAGCAATATCAGTCAAAACATAGGTGGACAAGTATGCTGAAGAAATACTTGTAATCAACTTGTATTATGCACAGTTAAAAAAATAACAGCTTCATCTAGAAAGCACCCCTTCTCCCCATAAAACGCTAGAGGCTCTTGGGTAACCATCATAAAATAATTTGTCCTGAACACAAAGCACTATATATACATATTAAAGCACAGAGAGTGAAAAAGAAAACTAAATACCCACCCGATCACTGGATGTTTGAAACCAAGTTTCCTTGTGGCTTCCTCTATTTCTTTTTCTAACCAAGGCTGTGGACGTATCAAGTATTTCACAAACTGCGAGACCCACCACACAGCAGGATCCCCATGTACACGAATTAGCCTATCAGCCAGGTCTTCAGGGACAGCCAACGGTAAATAGGGTGGCCGTGGGTGTAAGCTGTCAACAATGGGAAGTTCCACCACCTGAACATCCTTATCATTAGCCTCACCTGTTTAAAAATACATACTAGGATGAGTCAAGGAGTTTATTAATAAGCTTTACCACTGGCAAGTAACATCCCAAACATATCAGCTAAACTATTTTCAAAAGAAGTACCTAACCCTTGCTCTACGTTTTCAAAATAGCATTAAAAAAAAAAAATGGATTTACATACAAACTGTATCTGACTATCCACTCCAGTAAAACAAACTTGAAGGTCCTTAATTTTTTACCAGCTTGTTATTAATAAAATATTATAAGAAGTGTTCCTGTTTATGTATTCATGCTTTTTCATATACAACTACATCATCACTTTGTGCTAAGGATGGCTTGGAAAGACTTGTTATCTAAAATGCTTACAATTCAGTTACTTGTTTAAAAAATAAAGAAATATTTTAAGGCATAAGAAATTGTTAAAAAATAACTATACAGCGCTGCTGCAATTTTGAATACACTTTACTGCAGTAAATCTCAGCATTTCAGACATCATTTGGACCACTGAATTAGCTCCTCTACTGACAGAAGAGGAGAAAGGACAGAAAGAGAAAAACAGCCAAGCACTGAACAAGCATGTGATTTACATATAGGTAAGAATTTGTTATATGTTAAATACTAACTGAAGTGGAATATACAGCTGCTTTAGATGGGACTTTCAAGGATCAGTAAACCACTAAACATTTTTTATAAGAGCTCTTACAAATTACATGAACATAAGTGTCTACATAATTGATAATTCAAAGCTAGTTTCATATACCGCAATAAATTCTAATACATGACAACATGATACAAAGCATTGCAGTTTTGAAATATCAAACATTTCAGGTGAGACTTCTAGTGTGCTCATTTCTTCCAAAAGCGTATTTTCATTGTCTGCAGTGTTTACTGGCAAAGATAGCTAGCTGTCTGTTCAGTGCTCACCAGCCACGACAGTAACCTGTTTTAAATATCTGCAAATGAAGCTCATATAAGTTTTGATTACCAGTTAAACCTAAAGAATGAAAAATTCAATCCAGTGCAAGGACAATGATTCTTACCTTAAGAACAGTTAAAAATCCCTAAGGTTAAAACATGCACTAAAAATAATTTCAATATAGTTATGGCAAAGTCCTAGAAATTTGACAAGCATATGCTGCAGTCATACATTGCCAGAATACTACATTAACACCAGTGAGCCTACTGAACTAGTCAGATTTCATCAGTAACTCTCTAAGAAATGGCTGTTTAAATAAGGAATGTTTGCTGTGATCTGGAATATTTTCAATTAATTTTTAATAGATTTGGAATATCTGTCCTCACAGCTGTATCTATATGTTGATGTTTCATCACTGCACTATATAACACTGCAAAGGGATCTTTTAGAATAATTTCCCATAGAATATGTACTGCAGGTATGGATGATACTTTTTCATTCAAGAAGCCAATTCGTATTTTTACCATCTATTATACTGCACTTACAGGAAAAGACTTAGTAAAAACCCATAAACTTAGTAAAAATACTGAGCGTTTAAGTTTTCTTATAATAAGATGGATAATATTTTATCAGCATTTCTTAAGAAAGCCGCAATTAAGAAAAGCACCCTGAAACCAGAAAGTGCTAAATCTGGTGTAGGTGTCAAGTATTAGTCAGAAGTCTAGTGACTAAAGAAACATTCAGCTTGAGTATTGTATGAAAGAATGCTAGGAAGGAAAGAAAACCCAACTGTTACAGCTGAAACCAGGACAAGGTTCCATCCTTTTTATACTTTCACCCTCAACTGAGAGTGGGGGAAGGAACAAGATGGTAAAAGAAGCAAGAGCAATCTTAGCCAAGAAAAGAAAAAAGACTCCGAGCCTAAATTAGAGGAAGAAATTTGCTGCAATTCTGAGAAGAAAAAGCAGAGATGCAAAGGTGCATATAAAAAGATGAATTTTTATCAAGTCTGGTATTACTAGCAATTTCTTAAACTTCATTCTATCACTGGAAAAATATGTTGTGTGAAAACAGCCATTTGGAAAGTCTTGCCGTTGATGAAGCTGATCGAGGGACCTAACCCGCTATTTGGCATTCTGGCCCTGAAAAGCACCCTATACATAGATCCATACTATTTAAAGGATAAGACTGTGCGCCCAAAAATTACCATGGGCTGTCTTAAGAAAACAAGATTGGCCAGCAATAACTAGAAAAGCTCTTAGCATACAGCAAACTAGACTGAAATATACCAAAATCACAAGAATACCAAAGAAGACTATGGAGGAGGGAGAACAAACCAAAGCAAACCAAACATTTTAGCTTTCAACTGTATGTGATACATTGTTTGAATACTAATGAAGCTGCAATACTTGCTGTGAATCAAAATCAGGAACAAACAAAATATATTTCATTGAGAAAAAACAAATAATTTGGTTATGTAAAATTACCTACCAGGTCAAGTGTTAATGAGTGCACTTTGAGATATGAAAAGCTACTTTCTGAGAAGGAACTGAAAACATCATATGCTTACTTCACAGAGGAGATTAAGAGTTTCTTACTACACAGTAAGAGACCCAACATGGGGACTGTTACTGAAAGTATGGGTTACAAATAGTAAGTCATAAAATGAAATATTCACAAATACAGATCAAAGAATGTGCTGTTAATGCAACTAAAAACTATGCAATGGTTACAGAAGCCCCTCGTGCTTCGGAACTTTTGCCTGTTATTGTTGACAAATAGTTCTGACACACACAGTGTTATGTTGAAAATATGTATATAATTAAAAAAAAACCAACCAAACAACTATCAGTATGGTCATTGCTATTTTCAACAATGTTCTATTATGTTATCAGTTAATATAAAATTAGAAGACGGCAAAGGGTGTAAGCACTTAATCCAAACATACAAACTTCTGACAAAGCATAGCAATATGACACCACTGCTGAGAACATCTGTGCAAGCAATCGTGCAGATGTGTGAATAATCCTAGGAAACTTTCTCACAACTTTCCAGCCTTTTTTACCTTTATTATTGTCCTGAAGAACAAAGAAAAAAAACTCTGTTAGTCTTCACTCACTTTAAAAGGTATGAGCTAGCAGATTCAGTAAAAGGAAAACTTAACAGCAACTGTTTGCTTTTGTACTGGACAAAACCAGTGAAGAGTGACTCTCTAGTAACCTGATGGAGTAAACAACCCGCTGCAACAGCCACATAGGCAAGTGACAGCTTTCTTATCCTACTGATCTTTTTTCAGTGTTCACTTTAAGATTCCTACTAGGCAATGATCTTGTCCTATTTTCAACAGATAGAGTTTAAAAAACTTTCATGGAAATCCTGGCTAGCAGGGTATTGGTTTAGTTACTCAGAAATAAGCTGTAATCAAAACCAATGATACATTCGATACTCAAACCTCAGGTCAGATTGATGGGCAAAAACATTAAGTCACCTTTTTGACTGATACGAAATGTAGCTGTTCAACTGAAGATAATGAAGTTGGGTTAAAAATACAGAATGATCTTTTTCTCCAGACATTTCTTCAGTTTTTAGCTATGTATTCTCTAAATTTTAAAACAGTTCAGTTCTTACACTGCATTTTGTTAAATAATAGATAAGCCATAGAAGGTACTAATCCATGCTAATACTTGTACCTCTTTCTCACCCTGGTAGTTCAAAACACGGTATCATCATGTCAATCAGGTCCAATACCCTGCTTGCAGTAGGTCCAACTTTGACATCTGATGACAGAATTATTTAGGTTGGAAGATACCTCTAGAGCCATTTACCTGCATTGCTATAGGTCGCTTACATTTCATTTAAATACTTTAAACTACTTCTTCCAATGTGATTTACATTGCTTCTACAGTTGCCAACATTTGCCTCTATAATTCTATTTACAGCTTGTTCAACTTTCATACTATTCCAGGTGCTATTTCTTCAGTTTGGATTGACCTAAATAATTGTCCTCCAAAGTTCTGCAATTTTTATCCATTTTTCCTTCACTGCATGTTTTTTTTTTAATAGTCAATGCACTGCAATATTGATAACACTCACTCCTTGATCATAACATACTCTGGAGGGAAAAATCACAGACAGTAAACAAGTTTATTTTCACTTAGATGACCCATGCCAGTTGCACCACGTAGCTCTTACTCATCACCATCTTCTGCCTATGTTCATCACTAATAGATCAGTTTCAATTTCCAAGAGTCCTAATGATTACTTTTTAAATACTGAAATGGCCTGTGCTATAAAAGCCACAATTTAGCTTCCCTGCAGTATCCCAATGTACTCGGAAGCTCACAGGACTTAGGTAATTCTTCATGATTTGGCATAATCTTACTGCCTATTTCTCAAATATTATCATTGTCCTCCTAATTTGAAGCCCATTTAGAAGCTTTTGCTATTTATATCTTTCATAGACTCCTTTGAAGCCTGAAAAACGCTGTTTGGCTTAAAATGATCTCTGGGATTCGTCATTTTGCCTTACCTTACTTCCTACCCTCTGAACATTGGCTCAGATCTGCATTTGGATGGGTGTTCACTACATACAGCAGCTTTGTCAGCATACAGCAGAACGTCAGCTTTGTTTCAAGTAACAATCAGTACTATTAGTTAATGTTAACTGAAAAGCCTGTTTAAGAACTTAATTCATGCTATAATTTCAAAATTCATCATTTAATTTCAAAGTATTATTTCAAGAAGTTGTCCTTCGAAGCATGCCAAGGAATACTAAGCTAAGGACATTCCTGTTGTGTAAATGAGAACTTCCAATTTAATTCCAGTTTGTGTTGCTAGAAATATAACGATAAACTCAAAAATGGAATAGCTTCATCACTTTTCTGTCTCTATAATACAGACTTCTTTAAACTGGTATCAACTTGCATAGACTAATCACCACACTACTAAACTAAGCACTACAACTTGAAAGCCTGTCAGCTCAGTTACTCACCCAACTGAGTGAACAATTCTAAATTCAATCACACAAGATACCTCAGAGTGCCAGGAATGCTGTTAGATTAGCACTGTATATGGTGAGAGGGGCTGTGCTGAAGGCTCCT